TGTCACTTGCGCGAATGTTTGATTTTTTGCGAAAGACATATTGAGGAACATACATATGTACATATGTGTACATATATGCAAATATATTTGGACATGCGAATGAAGGAAGGCAATTTCAAGAATATTCACATATAGACATATGAACATTGAAGCAAGTAAACAATAATAGCTGTTTGAATTCACAGATTAAACTCAAGAGCTTGAATATTGTCTGTGGTGCTGCTTGTATAGCAGACTTCTTCATTGCAATGTGAAATATTTTGCCTAAGTTCAAATTCTATCAGATATTTTTTTATACTCTTTTTTTATTTTTATATTCCTTTTTTATTAAATGATATTTTAATTATATTTTCATATTATTTCCCTCATTATTTATATTTTCTTGTCAGAAGTCAATTACTTTCATTTTTATTATTTCAATTTTTGTTTATGCGCATATCAAAGAACATCTGCGCATATGTATGTATATACATTTTGCTTATAGAGTGGTGTAGTTCGTTGCGTAAATTGACAGCTGTGGTGACATTTTATTTTCGAACTTGCGCGTTTTCGATGTTCCTTCTTAGCAATTAACATTTTAGTACTGCTAACATTTGCTCCTTCTCTACTCTTCAACATTCTCTGCCAATGGTTCCCTTAACAGGACATTTTGTGGACTGTAAATCTGGATATCTCCAGGTTTGATTGCGATAAAAACCTTTAGCATATACAACGCAAAAGTAACAATCATTGATATGATTTGTAGGTTCCATCCAGATCATCGGAATACCAAAGTCTAATACAGAACGTTCTCCTTTTTTCCATAACCGTAAAGACTCAACGCATAATTTACAAACTTTATAAGGAGCCCATGGTTTTTCTAGTTTGTCCATTTTAAAATAATCATTGTAAGCTTCGTTAACGAAGTCTGGGATGTTTCGTTGTTGTTTTTTCGTTAAATAAACACCGCAAATATAACAAAACAAATCAGAACTATATTTACACTTTCTTCGTGACGAACTCATATTTTAAAACAACACAAAACAAATATATATTTAAATATATATTCAGTAATTAAAGGAATATAAACTCATGAGAACGTATTTAGATTCACGAGTTAGTACTTCGTATTGTCGAATAACTGAGATCTTAGCTGTTCTGCGGAGCAAGGGGTGGGGATTGCTAAGAGTAGGGATCACGTGATGTTTGTATGAGCGAAAAAGTTGCGCATAAGCCTAATCATGACCGATAAAATCAATTTTTATGAATAAAAAACTGATTATTGTTCAAATTATAAGATTTGTGAAAATCATAAAAATATCATAAAAATAAGAGCACATTCAGTGCTTTTATAAATATATTTGTGATCTGGACCCTTGAAAACATGAAAATTATCACAGATATCCAGGGCAACAATATTATTTTGTAGGGCTGTGTAATGGGAAATAATAAAAGTAGACTAGATCTCCAACTAATATTTTTATTGAATTCTGTATCTTAGAATACGAAATACTTAATGTTTAACAATTATTTAGAGGACATACACATATTAAAAACTGAAAATACTAAGTATTTTATAATCGTTAAGTCATTTTCACCAGTTTTTCAATTATTTTCAATCATTCTATCTTCATCATGAGTTTCACAGTTTATATGTGTATGTATTTTAGCCGCTTGCATTTTTGACGATACCTGCGGCATCGTTTCGTATTTCGTTGCTTTTGATGTAAAAGTTTTGCTGTAACAATATTTTCAGATACAGGCTCACCACTTTGAACGATATTAGTACTCAGCATGGCATCTGTTAAAAACACTTTAATAAATATAAATATATTGCATGGACCGAATACAAATAAAAATACTTACTTTAATATTCATACGAAATAAGGTAAATAATAAATTCAAGTACTCAGAATTTAAATAAATCCATAATCAACAACATTACTAGCAAAAAGTTCTAACAATGCTAAATAAAAACTATATTTAGTCACCAGGATCTTTTTTTTTTATTTTTCTAAAAGCACGTGCTCTATCGGCGTTCGGCGTAAAATTTATTCATCGTCATTCATTTTTATACTCTCGCAACCTGTTGCTACAGAGTATAATAGTTTTGTTCACCTAACGGTTGTTTGTATCACCTAAAACTAATCGAGTTAGATATAGGGTTATGTATATATAAATGAAGAGACGAGTTTGAATCCGGGTGACTGTCTGTCCGTCCGTCCGTCCGTGCAAGCTGTAACTTGAGTAAAAATTGAGATATCTTTATGAAACTTGGTAGACATGTTTCTTGGTACCGTGATATGGTTGGTGTTGCAGATGGGCGTAATCGGACCACTGCCACGCCCATAAGATACAAGACTGTTATTTGGTACACAGGATCACATTAGGGAGTGGCATCTGCACATAAAATTTTATCTCCTAAACCCCTAATGCTATAATAATAAAATTCACTGGAAGCAAATGTTTTTAGCACTTCTATTGACGGTGTGAAAATAGTTGAAATCGGGTGGCAACTCCGCCCACTCCCCATATAACGGAACTGTTAAAAACTACTAACTGTTCAAGCCCCTAAGACCTTCTATCGAAAACATCAGCCAATCCACAAAGAAATCTCAAACGAGTATACCATTTGACTTTGCGAGAGTATAAAATGTTCGGTTACATCCGAACTTAGCCCTTCCTTACTTGTTATACTATTCTTTGATTTTTCCTGGTTGATCAGTTTATGGACCACAAGCTGTGTTGTTGTTTACCAAAAGCAAAAAAAATAACATTTACATTAAACACTGGCAAAAGCAAACAAAATAGCGTGGAGCACGAGCACAAATAAGTAATAGTATATACACTACACGGTCAGCTGATGCGAACTGTAGGCGCCGCTTAATTGACCTCGGCTGCTCCGACGGGCACCTTCATTTTTAGGCCTACTCCACGGCCGATCGTCACGTGACATGTAATACACAGAGGAAAAAGTTCCAGACGACGTAATAAAAATTTTACTTTAAAACACATAAACATATAAATCTACTAACCTGTTGCTCCTAGTCCTCGGGCGATGTTTGCCCAGGCAGCCGCCTTTTTATCCGACAACCGGTATCCGAGGCACGTTTTATTTTACAAAATTTCGTAGCCGCACTCCCTCAATCAATCGCTCGTCGTCGTAGAATTATTAAAACAAAGTGTCACAACAGACGCGATGAGCGAAAAGATAAAAATAATCAAATAAAAATTAATCAAATACTATATGCATAACTGGGCCTTTATGCAGATTGCTTTTATTATTGTTGAAGGTGTCTCTTTACCATAAGCTGATCGTAGTAATAGTGAAATAATAAGGCAAGAAGGGTGTAACCGAACATTTCATAACATTGCAACTTGCAGGGAATAAAGGCGGAGGATATTAGGCATGGTTATTTGCAGTGACTAATAGGATTGTTTGGGTAAATTCACTCAACAAATTTGATTGAAATCGGTCGAGTAGTTCCTGAGATATTGGATTTCGCCTTAAGGTGGGCGGAGTCACACCTCTTGTCCAATGTTCAGAATTTTCCTAAAGAGTCCCTCTCTACCATCCTAGTTGTGAAATTTAATGGTTGTGGCTTATTTATTCGGTGAGTTATAGTACTTATATGGAGAGTGGGGGTGGTTATTATCCGATATTACCCATTTCCACAATTAGCCACGCCCACTTTACAAAAAAATTTAACCCACAGGTCTAAAACTTCACGAAATAGGTTAGAATAAGCACATGCTTTTACTACGGAGTGGAGCAGAAGACTAACGGTATATATTTCGTGTATTGGGCATACCAAAATATAGCTAAGGTTACACCGACGAATGAATTTAGGAACTGGATTTCATTATACCTGAGATTCTTATAGTTTAACTTATATTTTGCATACATGGGTAAGTTACAATCAAATAGACCTATACATGCGGTATGAAGTCAGTCGGAGGTTCGAAAATCTTTCTATTAGATATATGGGGGCTAAGAGAATAATTGATCTGATTCAACTTCTTTTTGACATACAGACATACTAATATCAGAAAAGGATTCTCTTCGAATTCCTTTAATATATCTCACAGATTAACCGATATTTTCAATAAAAAGTTCATAATTAGAACTGGTACACACACAGTTTCGGTATCAGAGAACTTGAACAGTTTTGCTCCAATGTGGTCATAAGATGGCAAACTTTAAAGGCACTATTCGTACACATTTTTTTTTGGATACATTGATTGGTTCTTGATTTGTATACTGAAAAGTGAAACAATCAGAGGAAATTTAAAATTTTGTTATATGAAAAGTAGGTTTTCACCTGATTTCGCTTATTTTCGCACTGTCATGTAGAAATGTCATAACAATATTACCTGCCATCTCTGCTGTAAAATTTAATGTCTCTGCCGTATTTAGTTATAGAGTTATCGCACTTTTAGTAGTTTATAACAAAATTGTTATATGGGTAGTGGGCGAGGTTATCATCCGATTTCACCCATTGTCACACTGTTGTAACAAGAGTTGAAAAAGTGTGTCCTGTGCAAATTTGGGTAATATAGCGGGGCCACGCCCACTTTAAAAGATTTTCAAACCACAGGTGTCCCTCCTTAATATTATTGGTGGTGCCAAACTTGAGTACTGTATCTTAACTGACGGTTTACTTATGGCACTTCATATGTTTTTGATTAATGGCGTTTTGTGGGCGTGGCAGTGGTCCGATTACGCCCATCAGCAATACAAACCGTGTTACGGTACCAAGAAACATGTGTACCAAGTTTCATCAATATATCTTAATTTTTACGCAAGTTACATCTTTCCCGGACATACGGACGGAGGGACAGACAGTCACCCGGATTTCAACTCGTCTCGTCATCCTGATCATTTATATATAAATATGTACTTATATATCTTTAAATCTAACTCGATTATTTTTAGGTGATACAAACAACCGTTATGTGCACAAACCTATTATACTTTGAAGCAACATGTTGCAAGAGTATAAAAATAAAGCGTTGGATTATTTCCATTTAAAACTAGAATAAAGTTTATTTAAATAACAGTTTACATACTTATTTGTACTTCTGAATAATTGATTTGTAAGACCAATTATTAAACTCAATAAAGATTCTAATTGCCTTACCGCTGGTGGGGGACAGAAATAGACTTCATTGAGCTGAGAACTTATTCATTCTAATTTTATTTTGTTAAATGCATCGCTTATATACTATTTACAAATCTTACTATCTAATTAAATTTATACATATGTATGTGCGTATGTGGCACGCACACCACATAGGGTTGTTTTTAAGTACAACTCAATACATGTGTGTGTGTGTATGTCCGTATGTATGTAGCACATTGTTTATGCTACATGTTATGGGATTGTTTTCAAGTGCTCATGTGCACTTGTAATCAATTGCCTAAATATATATCTTAGGTCTACAAGTTATCATATGAGTGTATATTTGTTTATGTGTTTGCTTATGTATGTATGTATGCCTGTTAAATATATTTGAGCATACATATTTAGGATTAGTGGACTGTATATTCTAACATATTTCTTATCTTAATGTGTAAAATAATAAAACTAAATTTATTGCTGCACGCCCTCTAAGTGGGGCCCTTGTGGTCCTAACGCACATGATCATTTTTGAACACTTCTCTGCGCTAAATTTTTGGAAAAAAAAGATTACTATATTTTTGTTTATAACAAAGATAACAGTGAAATATGTATATGTATGTACATATGTATATAATATAAAAATGCGCCATGCACGACTCACGTACCTTAACCTTTGCTGATTAATACAATTTTGATTAGCCATAGACAGCAGTATTAACCCAACACTTTCAATAACTTGTTTACCATTTCTTTATCCGCAGAGGCTTCCCTTCCAAAATAAAATTAAAACTTCACGTTTTTTTGGCTTTAGCGAAGTTCTATCAAACTCCGAATATGTGCTACTCCGTTTTAGAATCCGCTTATACTTTATCATATAATTTAAAAATTTTCTGGTAATGTCGTCCCGACTAAAAGGGAATCCCGCGTCCACTCTATTAATATTTTGGAGAACTTTCTCCCAAAACAGAGAACTTCTTTCAAATAAATTCCTCTGCATACCACATATTTTGTCTGTTTAATCATAAATTTTCTGTCATTCACTTTAGTTTAAGTTAAGTGACAATTGCAATTGTAATAATTTTAAACATAATGAAGAGAAGAGAATTAAGTTCAGAAAAAAGAAAAGTTGTAATTTCTAACTCTAAAGATGGTAAATCTTTATCGGAAATCGAAAAAATGGTGGAAAGTAGCAAATCAACTTTACTAAGGTCTGGCAGACCGAAATTGCTTCTGGACCGTGATGAACGTTTTATCAAAGGCATAGTCAAGAATCAAAGAATACATTTGAAAGTGCTCTTAAAATAGCCACTAGTTTGGAAATTGCTAAAAATATATCAGTATCATCAGATACAGTGCGCAGAGCAATCCATCGTAGTGCTTGTTATAATCGATGGAATAATGACCAAAGAGGTTTACCTTAATTTATTGAAAAATAATTTGTTGCAGAGTGCGGAAAAAATGGGGATAAAGGAAGATTTATGTTTTCCAAAAAACAACGACCCTAAACATACTGCACATCAGGGATAATGGGATGCCCAACTCGTATCTCACTGGAAATGAGAGAGCAATTGCTAGACGTCAAAACCTACTGAACTCAGAACTGTCAAAGCCAGATTGAAATCACACAAAATTATAATGGGAATGGAGACATTTTTAATTTTTACTCTCCATTTGTAACGGCCGTTATTACGAAGAATAACGAAAGAAAAACAGCACGCAGCTTGTGAACTGGTAAGTATATTTTAATTTTTATTAGATAAATTTGCATGTATTTAATAATTTTTAACGTTATTTTACAGCCGAAATGCTAAAATCAAACTTAAAATGGAGAAAGTGTGTTGCAGGCTGCAGCGAGGAGGGACGAACTTACCATTTTCCATGTGAGGGAACGGATCTCGAACGGTGAGTACATGACAAAATAAATTAATTAAATAATGCAAAAAGTGTGTTTAATATGTGATATATGATAAATAATTGTAAAAATGTCTTTCGATATATTAAAATTTAGAAAATTAATTTTTTGAAGTAACGACTGTGCGCATATAATTAATTATTTTGGATGTGCTATTAATAATACAATTTATTGTAGTTCTGCATATGTATAAGTATTTAAGTGCAAAAGTGATCAAAGAAGTTTTAAATAATTGTAACAAGTGTTAAAATATGAGTTTCGATAGTTTACAATTTATCTAAATTTCATTCTTAAATTATTTTGAAGTAACGATTTATCGTTGAATATTTATAATAATTATAAAATAGCTAACTAAATTAAATATCTATACGGCTTTATTAAAATAAATAAATAGTTTACGTGTTTTGCCATTTTTTGCACTATTATAATTATATATATTTTATATTATATTATTTTATAATTTGAATATATTATGTTTTTTTCTTTTAATAGGCGTAAATGTTGGCTCAGACGTTTAGGTGTTTCTGAAAGATTAAATGAAGAAAAACCTAAACACATTTTTGATTGTAAACGCCATTTTTAAGAAAAAATGCGCCACGCAAAAAAATTGGGCCCGAGGGCCATTCCCGATATTAATTTAATTGTTGAGCCTTCATTTAACGCCTCAAATTCTTTTTTTGAAAACCCTATAGAACTGGGTTTTGAAGATTTGCGTAAGTTGATCGGATATTATTCATTTTTATGAAATGGCGAATAATTTTAGTTTTTTTAAGGGATGGCTATTAAATATAAACAGTTTAAGACGGTTGTAGCGATTTTTGTCGCACTAATGATTTCCATACTTGAAGACGAAATGACTATGTCAGGACAGTTTGGAACATTTTTTAGGGCAGATTAGAAGCAGAGGAGGTACTAGAGTAACGCTTTACATGTTCTCTAGTTTATTTAGGAAATCGTGTGTCTACGTTATGTAAATATCGGAAATTGTGAGCTGCCTTTAGAACCTGATGCTAATTTCGGATCTTATTAATAATGTTCTACTTAATGTGTGCAATAATTAATTTTTAAACGACCTTTCTTGGCAGGCTTTTCAAGGCTTACCACGACCTGAACACTTCCTTCTTAGATCAATTTCTTTAGATAGTACTTTAGAAATTAACTTTTTAAAAGAAAATGCTTTTAGTTATTTTTGCGGCTATCTTTATTTAAAAACTTTCAAAATGCACTCATGCTCTCTTCCATTATCTTATTTACGAGATGAAATTCCTTCGGACGAATTCATCTTCATTTATCAAAATCAAATAGACAAATGCAATTTAGTAAAGCCGCCTCAGGAGTTTGTTGCATTTGTAAAAGTGTTTGAAACAAAATTTGTATAAGAATTCGATAGTATTTGTCATAAGATAGGAGTAGGATACATTATTTTTAATGAAATGAAAGTTGTTAGGCCATTTTTGTGTTAAGAAAATTCTGACCCGCAAATAGTTATAGCAGAGAATGTTAATGAATAGAAAAGGAGCAAATGTTAGCTGTACTAAAATGTTAATTACGATGAGGGAACATCGAAAACGAACAAGTTCGAAAATAAAATGTCACCACACCTATCAATTTACGCAACGAACTACACCACTCTATAAGCAAAATGTATATACATACATACATATGCACAGATGTTCTTTGGTATGCGCATAAACAAAAATTTAAATAATAAAAACGAAAGAAATTGACTTCTGACAAGAAAATGTAAGTAATGAGGGAAATAAAAATGAAATTAGAATTAAAATATCATTTAATAAAAAAGAGTTATAAAAATAAAAAAAGAGTATAAAAAATATCTGATAGGATTTAAACTTAGGCAAAATATTTCATTGCAAACTCGCGACATATATTCTAAGTATTTCATATTACAACGACAACAAATTCATTCATAAGGAACGTGCGTCTGCTTCAAAGCAAAGTGCGTTCATTCATAACTCTGCGCCGCGCTTTTTTTTTTGTGCGCCTGGTAAACCACATTTGGTTTTCATATAGAATTCCTACCGCAAATGCGCGAGAATAAAAATGAATGAAATTGAATTTGAATGTCTTCAGTAAAATTGAATAAGTTTCAAGTTTACAATTGATCCTACCATTCCCCTCGCATTTGTATTTTGCCCACAAGCTACCTCCTCCAAACGATGCTAAAAATCAGAAACTGAAGAATTTGTCTGATGTTCCCTTCAGAGAGGAGAATTGGCAACATGACATATTAGCAAGTTAAATATGCTTAGACTCTAATTAATAAAATAAAAAAATAAATAAAATTTAATTCACATGAGTTTTAGGATTCGAACTTATATGCTCGTATTCGGAATGAGCTTAACTCCTTCACGCTTACAACTCAACCACCACAAGAGTAGAAACGCGGCCGCTTAACCACCGTTTTATTGTTATCCTTTGTTCAATAAGCAATTACTCATGCAATTATTGCAATCAGGAATTGTGCTATACAAACAGCACCACAGATAACATATTATTTAAATAGTGTAATGTGTGAACTCAAACATCAATAATTTTTATACTCTCGCAACCTGTTGCTACAGAGTATAATAGTTTTGTTCACCTAGCGCCCTAACCGATTTCAACCAAATTCGGTATATAACATTCTTCTCATATTTCTATAAATCGGATAACACCGACGCATATTTCCCATATAACACCATTTTAAATTCCAACTGATTCTTTCACTTTCCACTATGCAAACCAAGCAACAATGATTGTATCGGAGTAAAACTTTGCGTGAATAATACCACCTTGTGTGCCACTCGAAAACACACTGAAATGGCAAATTGCATACATATTTATGTGACGTGATTTTTGGTTTTTACTGAGGAAATCAAACGGTTCTTAATAACGGGAAATGTGAATAACATCGATCTATCATACTCAATGTTATGTATAATTGTTATTGTAAAAAACACGAAAAGTTTTATTTTTATTTTGAAATTAATATGACTTTTTTACGCATATACATAGTGCATACTTATTTTTGTGATACACTGAATGTACCCAAGTATATACATAAACATGTCGTATATGTGAATATTTTAATATTAAAGTAAAATGCAGGTACATTTTTGGCATGTAGGTGAGATTTGACCAAATGCAAATGGCAAAAACTAGAGCAGAAGGGAGAGATATTCTCATCTATTGATGGAGGAAATGCACCTGTTTATGTAATTTCTGATGACTTTAATGGGTGTCAACTGCGAAAATATTCTATTGGGTAAGTGCGAAAATATAAAAAAGGGAATAACAAAAGAATGAAACGAAATTCCAAAACATCAGTTATAATAAAATCTTGTTCTTGCGCAGGTGTACAATTTTAAATTGTTTTTAATGACATATTATTTTTCATGATGCCGCGAGTCCGTAAACGTAGTGTGCGCGAGTGGTCAACTGACAATAAAAAGTGTATTTTGTTCATTTGGCCGAAAAATTTGGAAGACGAAACACGTTTGTTTGTGCTGCGCATGTTGAAGATAATGCAAGGGGGGCTGAAAATTGGAGAATTGGATCTGTTCCCACGTTAAATCCTGGTAAGTTACAAATTTTAATATTATTAAATGTTTTACGATATTGCCAGTTAATCTATGTATATGCATATATGCCCGTATGTATGTATGTATACTTATGTGCGTATCGGGGTTTATGCGTTGAAGGATGTCCATCGGATGAAAAAAAATCCTTTTTTCATTCACCGTAGATGAGATTGCATTCAACAGCGGGGTGTTAGTATTACAAATAAATGCAACATAATCCGACCGTAAAAAGTTATTTATTTGTGACAGCAATTTTGATGCGAATTATGTCGCAAATAATAGACTTAAGAAGGAGCTTTCCCGAAGCATAAATTATTTTAACAAAATACAGGTAGTTGCAGTAGCTTGTCGTCGAACAGAGTCCTTCTGCCTATTAAACGCCATTATTCATATAGAAATCAGATAAGGGGAGAAGATTTGAGTTATGAGGAATTCGAATTATATTCAGATCTCGAGATGAAGAGTAAACAAGATAGTGTTTCCTTCAACATCGATTTCTCAAAATGCCCGTAAACAAAATGAACCCATGAATGCGCCACCTACCTGAGCGCTGAGGATTTGAAACAAAAAGAATTTGAATTAGAGAATAGGTTAATTATTGGCTATTTCGCTGGCGCCCAATTAAATGTTATGGTAGGGGTTGATCCTAGGGTTATAGGTAATTTAAAAACTCTTGTTGGGTAAATGTCCAATTACGAACGGATCTGTGTAATAATAATCGACGAGATTGCAATTAAAAAGGTCTCGTTTATAACATTGAGAAAGGAGACGGCCATAGGCAATTACATTGACATCCTCCCACATTTATCCCAATAACTTCGAGAAAATGAGCGTTGCTAAAGCTAAAACTCATGAACTCAACTTGTTCGATGAGCTTGATTGTAATGTGCGCAACAGCAAGAGCCCGTACAAGTGGCCCATTCAACAAAACACTTCGGCAAAGTTTGATAGGCTGAAGGACCACCTGTAGTTCATTTCGCATATCGAGGATCCTAGCAATATACATAAATGCTCAATGCTTTTCAGGGTTTATCATAACTATAACAGCAATCATGAATTTATCGACAGAAATCTTTGCTAATCACAAAGATGTTAAATTTATATTGTTAGGAAAATTAAGCCAAGACGCGCTATTAAATTTTTTTTTATAAAATTAGGACTAGGTAGGGAATAAATACCCATCCATCGGCTTATGATATTCAATTCGTAGTCGCTCGTCTTATCTCAATGAAAATATTGAGACGCAGTTTCAATAATAAACGCTAATTGGAATGTAAGCGAGGAAGATCATAGCTCTCTCGATGAATCTGAGCAATACGCCGTTGATGTAGTTGACATTCCCGATGAGCACTTTGCAGAAACCGAAGAAAATACTGCGGAACTTCAAGTACAGCAGTATTTCACTGGATACTCTATATACCAAAAACTTCTCTCCAAGTTCAGATGTGATAACTGTGCAAAAGATCTGTTGAAGGCTCACGGAGATTTAGATAAGACTCCGAGTATTTAATCCGTTCTAAAAACTACAAAGATTACACCGATCTGCGACTGATTAATCCAACTGACACAGCGTTTGAAATTTGTCGGATGCAGATGAAGTGG